AAGGGGTTAATATGGATATGGTTTCTTATGCACAGTTACTTAGATGGGATGGCCAAGACTGGCAGTTAAAATCTTTGGAAGAACTAATACATGAAAATCTAACTTATTCATGGTTTCAATATAGACAAATAGTGGACAGATGGAAGATGGATTGTAAAATGGGCTGGCTTAGAGAAGATGAAACTCTTCTAAAACAAGTAAGAGATCAAAGGCCAACCCATATTAAGAGAGTTTATGGGGTTTTAGTGGAATTGGACTCAGAATCTGAATTAGTTAAAGATTGTATGATTAAATGGGCACAGAATATTGGTGAATCGATTTCAATGGATACTTGGGAACTTATTTGGACAAGAAATGTTAAATTCACACAAGCGCAAAATTTAAGAGAGAATTTTTATAAGATGTTTTATAGATGGCACCTTGATCCAAAGAAAATGTCCATTATGTACTCTAATTTACAGCCGAAATGCTGGAGATGTGGACACTTGGATGCTACTTATTATCATATCTGGTGGACGTGTAAGCATATAAAAGCTTTTTGGATTAAGATATGGTGGAATATTCAGAGAATTTTTAGAAGGAGGGTAAAATTTACTCCGCAATTATTTTTATTAGGTATTGTTACTGATTGTGATGCTAGGGAGGTTATATTGATGCTAAATTTGATTACAGCCGCTAGGCTGTTAATAGGACAATATTGGAAGAAGGAATCCTTGCCTATTTTACAAGAGTGGTTTTATAAAGTTTCGTATTTGGCAGAAATGGCAAAGATTTCGGCTTTTTTAAAGGAGCAATCTCAAGAGAAATTTTTTGCGGTATGGGAAAAATGGATAAATTTTATACAACATAATTTAGATATGGAAAAATATTATTTAGCTTTTTTATAACTTGTAATGATTGTTTTTTTCTTTCTTTCTTTCTTCTTCTGTATTATTATTTATATACTTTTCTATATATGTTTTATTTTTCGCCTACCTCTTTCTTTTTTCTTTCTCTCTCTCTTTTCTTTTTCCCTTTTTTCTTCTTCCTTTTTTTTACGTATATTATTATTATATATATTATTATTATGATTTTTATTATTATTATTAATTATCTTATAAATTGTATACGTTATTTTTTAAAATTTGTTAAATAATCCTATATTCAGTTCTGGGAAGTCGGGGGGGGAGGGTGGGGTGGTTTGGGGGGGGGGGTGGTGGATGTTTATTTGTAAAATTTTTGAAAAAAATTCAATAAAAAAAAAAAAACATTCTCCCATCTTCTTAGCAATATAGGGACCTCTAATTCTTTATTCCACTTGTTTCTTAGAATCTGCATGTCAAATCAATTTATTTATAACAGATACCTATAAAAACTAATACAGCTAGTCCTGTAAGGATCCACCTCAGCTAACCACCCAAGAAAGCAGAACTCTTGAAATAGGCATTGTCTCAAAAGGAAACTTTTATTAGGGATTAGTGACAATAGGGAAGTCAAGGTGAGATCTGGGTAAAATCCCGCTTAAACGGTATACTTAAACCAGCAATATTCCTCCTCCTACTAAAGTCATAATGTCCATTTGAAATCCAGCCAATCCACAGGTGGCACAATTGGCATGCATCTCAAGGTCTTCTCCAGCTTTTGTTTCTCTGTAACTGTCTTCCTGATAAGGGAGACACATTCCTTTCTCAAGTGGATAGAGGCGAAAGAAGGAAAGCAGAAAGCGAAAATTATGCCAAGGGAAAGCAAATATCCCCACTCCCCCCAGCAGAATGGCAGGCCCCAAAACAAAAACACAAGAGTGTATATACAAGGAAGACAATAAAGATTTTGGGACCTGACAAGTCCTCAACTTACAATACTTCAATTAGTGACTGTTCAAAGTTACATCAGTACTGAAAAAATTACTTATGACTGTTTTTCACACTTATGACCATTGTAGCATTCCCATGGTCACGTGATCAAAATTCAGACGCTTGGCAAATGACTCCTATTTATGAAGGTTGCAGTGTCCCGGGATTACGTGATCACCTTTTGCAAACTTCTGGCAAGCAAAGTCAATGGGTAGCCAGATTCACTTAACAACCGTGTCATTAGCTCAATGACTACAATGATTCACTTAACAACTACAGCAAGAAAGATTGTAAAATGGGGCAAAACTCAACAAATGTTTCACTTAACAACAGGAATTTTGGGCTTAATTGTGGTTGTAAGTTGAGAAGTACCTGTAGTAAGGTTTTTGGGTTTTTTTAGGTTTAAGGAATTTAATAAGTTGTTCTAGAATCTCAGGTCTCTTAGAAGCTGGAAATGTTTCTGGTTCATTTGTTAATAAATTTTGTAGCTGTAAATATTATCATTACATTTGATAGAAGATATTTATCTTTCTTAACATAACATATGTTAAAAAATCATCTGTTCAAATAATCTCATCCCTCCAGATGGTTTGTCCTGCATTCATATGCTCTCATTACCTTTGCATTCTTATTTATTTCATTTTTCTCAATATTAAACAGTCAAATGAGCCGCACCTTTAGAATTATATTCATTACTAAGCAAATGAATGTACTTATGTTTATATAATGTACACTATTCTAAAGGAAAGACTTTTTTTTAAAGTAAATCGTCTACCATCACCATTCCCTTTTTCAAGGGGGTTGGGAGGGTATCTCTAAATAGTCTCTTGTCTTGCTCCTACTCCCTCATTCTACTGAACGGAATCATATTTGTGTTCATTTAAAATGTTGCACAATTTCTCAGGTTCTTCTTTACTGGAGTGTGATATGCAAGCATTAACAATGCATAGACTCTATGCAGACAAAAGAATCTGTATGCTACCACTCCATAAATTCCATCACACACTTTAGTTCTTTCAATTCATAATTAAACCTAAACCTTCATTCTTTACATGCATTTATCAATTCTACAAGAATCAGACTACTTTTGTTCACATCTTAGTTTTAGAGAAAGAAAACACATTTTTTTCTTTCTCTCATTTAATTTCTTCTTTATTACTCTTTACCAATACTTTTCTTGCATTCCAAGTTGTAATTTTCCCTATGGAAAATGTGAACATTACCAGCCCTTAGATATTGAACAGTGCTGCCCATTGTGGCTTTGGTCAATAGAGACTTTCCAATAATTTTTGTAGTGAGATAGAGAAGGTGTAGACTAGGTGCTCAACCTTAATTACACCTGTACTGCATGCAACATTTCCTGCTAATGGTAATTGTAGTATTGCTAGGTTGGATACATTCTTGCCAATATGTCGCAGTGCAAGCAAGAGCCAGTTTCATTTCATGTATGACCATGCTATTCAATGCAAGCAAAGATATCAAATGTAGAAATCATCTTTAAGTCAAAATACCAAGACACTATGGTATATGCACTATTGTAGATTGACAGACACTCAGGGGGAAGGACGGATGATTTTCTATTACTATTTCAAGAGTGGGAGGGAGATTTTTTTTCCCCATGACTTGTTTCTTGATTTCATTTTGGATAGAACAGAGCAGAACAAAATAGAATAGAGCTGGAAAGGACGTTGGCGGTCTTCTAGTCCAGCCTCCAGCTCAAAGAGGAGAACCTATACCATTTCAGACAAGTGACTGTCCAGTCTCTTCTTTACAATCTCCAGTGATGGAGTGCCCACAATTTCTGAGGGCAAGCTGTTCCACTGGTTATTGTCCTCATTGTCAGGAAGTTTCTCCTTAATTCTAGGTTGCTTCTCTCTTTGGTCAGTTTCCAACCATTGTTTCTTGTCCTGCCCTCTCTGCTTTGGGTAAGGATGTGGCTTACATTCATGTGGCTTTAGTCATTTTTTCCAAGGAGGTTATGGATTTTAAATGTGAAATGTCTATTTAATTTCCATGTATTTCTCACCTCAAAATGGCAGACAACTGTGATGTTTTGATAATCATGGTCAAAGAGGGCTCTAAGGTTTGTAAAAAAAAGGAACTGCTGCAGAATTCCATACTGTTGGATTAATTGCTAATAGAACATTCAAAGTAATTATGAAAGCTAAAAGGGGAAGTTACTTATTTATGTATTGTCTCAACTATGTATTTTTCTCTAATACAAAATTCTTTTTAGATCCTTATGCTTTCTACTAAGGAAAGGGGTGGTTATGTTAATGTAAACAGAGATTTAAGACTTCAGAAACCTCCTCATTAAACTCTGCCAGTGTCAACAATTAAACAAGGAATGAAATAGGTATTGTAAATTTAAAGCTTTTCAGTTAAGTGCCAATTATACAGTCAACTACTACTCATCAAGGGTTACATATATAATATATTTAATACATATTATAATCTTAACTGGGCATATAAGACTTACATCATTTTTTTTCTTCTCATATAATTGCAAATTTATTCAATGGAACTGGAGAATTAATGTAATCTGATTTTGGAAGGCTGTCACATATGCTTATATAGCAATGAGTTTTTAAAACAATGGTCGATCAAAGAAACTGTAATGGACTGATGGGGGTATAGTAGTAAATTGTTTTCACACATCCTTCTGAACTAAATATCAATAATATCTTTTTCATTGTTGTTAATCTTTAATACATTTCTACATACTGTTGAAGCAACTCCAGATAAATTTTCAATAGACACCATATATGACTTGTTCCTCTGAAGGACAACTCACAAATATATTAATTTACATAATGTCTGTCATTTTTAATACCAACCTCATATCAAGTTCCTTGTCTTGTTCTGCCAAATACTTTTTCACTTGATTATAAACATAAGCTTTGTTCTTCCTTTTTACTGTTCTTTTGATTTATATTTACTTACCTTGCTGAAATTGTGTTGCAAGGACCAATTAATTATTGCTTGTAAAGTCACAGAGATTCTTGGATGAATGTATTATGAATTAAGAGTATAAGGCACTGTTATGGTTATGATTCCTCCCTGGAAATCATACTACATAATGAAACTTTTGTCACCAAGACTCGTCCAACTTGTTTTTATTTATCTCATTGGTAGCTTCTTTTTTTAACCTAATACAGCTCATAAAGAATCTAGTCCTTGCAGTGATGCCACACTACCTACTGTGGACGCAGACCAGCACAGAAGGAGCTGCTCGGCTACAGCTGGCACCAACAGGTAAGCATTCTTCTCCTTTTTCAAAAGGCAAGACAAAAAGCTGCCACAGTAACAAAGGGCATTGTATTATTTAACTTCCATGCCATACTTCTTAGATGTGGCAGACTACCTTTCCCAGCTGGCTATGGCTTTCTGGTCAGAATTTTGACCAAAAGTCTGTTTTTCCTCCTAGAACTACTTTTCCACGTTGATTATGGGAGGCAGCTGAAAGGACAAGAAGCACTATTGCCCCAAGCAGCTTAAACAATCACCCCAGAGAGATATCCAGGGAACATTATTACTGATTTCTCTCAGGCTGCACTTGAACAGAAGTATGGAAAAGTTACCACAAAATGAGAATTTAATGCCTTATCTTCTCTCCATAGATTTTCAGATAGGTATAGAGCAAGAGAAAAAACAAGAGAGTTCAAACTCTTATTCCACTTGGAAATCAGTTTCATTGAATTTAATGTGAAAATTTAGTAGGAAAATTTTGCCTTTTATTAAATAAAAAAACATATAATCCTCTGCAGAATTTTTTTTTGTTTAAGTCAGTTTTATCCCCTTCTCCCTTCCTCTCTCTATTTTAATAGTGCAGACGTTGTACAGGGTGACTGTATTTGGATCTGAACACTCTCATCATTTTTCATTTGTAAACTTGTTGCATTTTCCACTTCATTCTTTTTCTTATAACTGAAAATTAATTAAGGAGTTAATTAATTAACTATTAATTAATTGTTACCATTATGGTTTTTTTTACTTCTAAGATCTGTTCTTTTCTTTTCTCTGAAAAGATGAAATTATTGTTTATGACAATTTACTTCTTGAGACAAAACTATGAAGGGGTTATTTATTTCAGAGATTTATAAGTGGTTTTCAGTAAAATGTCCTGGGAAATTTGCAAAAAAGTAGGCTACTTATCTATAAACTTTGAAAACTTTTTGGGTTACATGATATCCTGAAAATGTTCCACGCCTGCTGCTATTGTGCTGACACTATTGAACAATGATTGTATTGTATTTGTTTGTATTACGTTGTGAAGTCTGAAGATGAGTTTCTGTAAACTCTGAAAAGAGGAGTTTTCAATGTTTTATGCCAAGAAATCTGGATGATGGGTGTTGAAAACGGCATAGTAAACTAGATACAGACTTTGGGTTCATGCAAGGAAAGCAGTTAGTTAACAATTGCTGTTTTGTCCAGAGGTCTTCTGTCAAGGAAATTGTTTACTATAGGAATAACACATTCCAAAGCTTAAATATTTTGTTTTGCAGGGGAAAAAACACATTTCTCTTCCTTTTTCCAAAAAGTATCCCTATGAGTTTATTTTTTTCTGAATTGGGCACTTGCCCTTTGAACAGCCTATTCTGAAGGAATACTGGTCTTGGAGATAGAGAAGGAATGAGTGAATGGGGGGAGGGGGCTTCCAGAAAAGGTTACATAATCCTAGAAAGAGGCAAGATAAGGGAGGGAAATCCCCCCCCCAATAATCTGCCCTTATTTTCTTTAGTATAAGAAAACCCTGACTGTTTTTCAAATTATGTTTCTGTACCTAACTTGAAGATTTTGTTGCTCTACTTACCTAAAGAACTGACACCTAGAAGGGGAGACACATTCCCCAAAAGTATAGATTGGGCTAAGACATAAAGTAAACCTGATATCAATTCATCTGCATTTCATTCTTCTTCTTCTTGTTGTGCCATATCCATTATCGGATGTTGGCAATCATGTTGGTGATCCTGCATTTCATTAATTAATTATAATTTAAAATTTTATAATTCCATCCTTTCCTGGATGGTGCTGGATAGCAGAGCATCCCTCATTTAAGCCATAATCTTTTATCTGGGTAAGGCAATGAGAACAGAACACTGTTCTGGATACCTGAACTTTTTACTTAGAATTTCTCTCCTTTGGAAAAAAACAACATTTTTCATCAAACTGCAAATGTTAAAAAAGCAGAAAGAAATTTCAGCAGTTCTGTTTGCTTTAGTGTTCATCATCTAAAAGAATCTCCTTACAGTACATAGCCTTCTTTTATGAACGAATAACTTGACCAGGATTGTTTTCTTTTCCAGTCTTGATGCCCTACCTGATTTACAAGTAAACTGCTCAAGATTAGGGTTGTAGAGTCCCACAAAAAAAGAGAACACATTTGCCATTTGTCAAAATGTCTTACCCTTTCTTCCAGCAATTCATACATTTTGAAAGAGAGCACCTACCCTTCTTGATGGTAGCCTGTTGATTGGCTTTAATCCCTGTTTGCCACTTGAATGGTAAAATGAACAGAGACTACTTCCTCCACCTCTGCAACAGCCACTCTGAGTCAATTCCTCCTAGAAAATAACCCAGGCTGAGTTACTGCCAGAGAATTCTTACTTTCAAAATAGTGCTGAAATAGGATTAGCAAACTTATTGGACAATGTGTGCCCAAGAGATGTTCTTAAAATCATTTTTTAAATGATTTTTGTATTGCTTCTTCTTTTTAAAATTGATATTAACATTAAGGAATTTTAAAAAGCTATTAGAAATAAATACACTGCAATGAACTGAACAAATATTTTTAGGAAGAGTTTGGGTTTCCTTTAATGAAGATTAGTAAATCATAGAGAACTAATTATCAAGATCTCTCTACTTTCTGTTCTGGCATTTGTGTTTCCTCTTTATTCAGTTGCATTCTTGCTTTTCTATTTCTGTGAATTAAAAAGTAGTAGAAAGGAATTTAGAAACAGTGCAGATGAATTAAAAGAGAGAATGAACAGATATAATATTTATGTGAATTGTACTACTTTAGAAAACAGTGTCTGTGTACAAAAGTAGTTTCATGTTACTTTGTAGTGTCAGATTTATAAGTGGATAAAATTAAGGCTCCATATATTGTCTATTGTCCCCTCCCATTTCTTTATTTTTAAATTTTAATTTATTTATGAAAATCTTTGTATGTCATATATCTCATTATATTTCAGTGGAGACTTTTACTACCACAATTTTAGTCTGACTATGTGTAATGAATGGGGGAGGTAGTGTGGTGGACTATAGCAAGCGGCAATTTCACAGGAAGAAGGGAGTACATTTCAGTTGGGGGGGGGGAGAGGAGGTGAGACAAGAAGCAACATAGCCTGTGCTGGATCAAGAGTGGAGAAAGAGTTAGGAAAGCCACTCCCTAGAATCTCCCAGGAAATATCCTTTAGGGAGAGAATAGTACTGGTTTAGTCTGGCAAGATTCTTTCTTTCTTTCTTTCTTTCTTTCTTTCTTTCTTTCTTTCTTTCTTTCTTTCCTTCTTTCTTTCTTTCTTTCTTTCTTTCTTTCTCTCTCTCTCTCTCTCTCTCTCTTTCTCTCTCTTTCTTTCTTTTTATCATCCATCCATCTATCTATCTATCTATCTATCTATCTATCTATCTATCTATCTATCTATCTATCTATCTATCTATCTATCTCAGCAAATAAAGAGCTAAATTTTGGCTGGATTGTTCTAGGTAATTTTTCAGCTGGGCCTGACACTCTGCTGGCTGGCAATTACTGGAATTTCTCCAGCTGTTTGGATGGTATCAGTTAAGGAAAACTGATACAACACAAAACAGAAATAAAATGCTAAGGACTCCCCAAATTTACTTCTTCAGATGTCCTAAATGAATGTATAGAAATTGGAGAAGTACAGGAGAGGCCAGCATATGTGGTGAGCCGAGGTGGCGCAGCAGTTAGAGTGCAGTACTGCAGGCCACTTTAGCTGACTGTGTTCAGCACGTCAGCAGTTCAAATCTTACCGGCTCAAGGTTGACTCAGCCTTCCATCCTTCCGGGGTAGGTAAAATGAGGACCCAGATTGTTGGGGGCAATGTAAATATATATATACATTGCTTACTGGTGTACACCGCTTAGAGAGTGCTTGCACTTAAAGCGGTATATAAGTCTCATAAATAAATAAATAAATAAATAAATGTGACCTACTTTCTTCTGATTTTCAAACTCTTGTATTTTCAGGCAAATGAGGGGGTTATTCTTTAAATTCTTAAAGAGTTATGCTTGAAGTGGATTTGGATCAAAATATGATTTCCATTCCTGGCCTAAATAATTTTGAAAAAAGAAACAATATACTACCTGAGGAGTTAAATAATTTTAATATGGCCAAAGGCAAGCAAGGTAGCAGTGCCTATTAACCTTGGCTGAATTGGAAAAAAAAAGAGTCAAATCTGATTATATTTGGATGGGAGATCACCATGAAATGTCAATCCCGTACATATATTGGGAAACTGAAAAAATATCTAAAGGCATAACTTCCATATTTTTGCTTAGCAAACTAAAAGGACACATAGCCATCCAAAAACAGAGTTAGAAGCAGGGAAAAGTGATAAAATGCACAGTGTGGATTTGCAGGACAAACTCTGCCTCTTACATTATTGTAAGAGCAGGGACAAAAATGAGGCAGTCAAGAAGAACATTTTGAGACTTTGATCTGTTGGCTAACATCAAATGTAGTATTGCACCTATTATAATTGCAACCATAGTGGAAAGAGTAAATGTAGACAATAAATTGTGTAGCTGCTTGCTAAATTCTATTAAGGCCACATTTCTGATTAAACTTAAATAGAGGAGCAAGAACTTTTTCACGGTTTTTACATTAAGAAAAGTCTGTCCAGAAAGCTATTAAAACTCCAGTTGTTTCCTACCATTATCCTAAAGTGCATAGCTAAATGTCTCTAGAGATTCTCAGTCATCCAGATCATGGTTGTCCCAAAGGTGCTTTTTAAAGAGAAAACTGAACTTTCTTGTTGTTGTTTTTTTGAAGATGTTTTGTTTCTCATTCAAGAAGCTTCCAAGAAGACTCCCATTTGCATTACTCAGGTGACATTGACGACACAGATTAAACCTCCAAGTTGCCTCAACAATTCTATAAAAGAATGCAAATGACCAGCTGTCTGCAATGAATATAAATCCTTCCATTCCCCACCATCCAGTCAGAGCTGAAGAAGCTTCTTGGATAAGAAGCGAAATTTCTTCAAAGAAAACAAAGTCCAGTTGCCACTTGA